GGGTGAAAATACGACAAATTTGGGTTAAAACAGGGCGAAGTGGGGGCGAAACAGGACAAAATTGGGTCAAAACCGGACAAATTTGGGTTAAAACAGGGCGAAGTGGGGGCGAAACAGGAGAAAATTGGGTCAAAACAGGGCGAAGTGGGGGCAAAACCGGACAAATTTGGGTTAAAACAGGACAAAGTGGGGTCAAACCGGCCCAAAACTGGGACAAAGCGGCCCAAAACACCAAGAAGTTGGGTCGAAATAGCACAAAGTGGGGTCAAACCGGCCCAAAACAGCAAAACATTGGGTCTAAATAGGACAAAATTTGGTCAAAGCGGCCCAAAAACAGCAAAAAGTTGGGTCGAAATAGGACAAAGTGGGGTCAAACCGGCCCAAAACAGCAAAACTGCGGTTTCCCCCTCTTTTTAAATCCCTTTTAAACCTCTTTTTCCCCCTTAATTCCGTTTTTTTTAAACCCGTTTCTCGGGGTTCTTTACCGCGAAATTTCCCCTCTTTCGAAGGCGACCTGAGTTAAAAATAAAGGCAGGAAATCAAGGGAAGTTTTAAAGAAATAAAAAGAGTATAAAGGGAAAAAATAACCCGCTCTCTTTTAACTTATTCTCTTTGTCACCATTTCCCGCCCTTTCCCCTCATGTTTTTCCCGCTTTCCCCTCACGAACCTTTATCATATAAAATACATAAATAAATAACGACCACTCTTTTTTCTGCAAAAAAAAGGACACCACGCTCAAAAAAGTTTATAGATCTATATTTTATTGTACGTTTCGGGTGACTTTTAAAGGGGGAAGGTGGGACAAATGGGGGGGGGGAGCTGGGGGTAAAACTCCTGAGGTAAAAAACCCTCCAACAAAGCAAAAAACACCCCAAAAACTCACTCAGACCAACGAACAACTGTATAAAAACGCGAAAATAATTTTTAGAAGGAGAAATTTCCCTCAGGAAATACAAAATAAAGGCGGTTTACGAAGTCGGGATCCTCGCGGCGCGACGGCTCCGCCTGAGGGGAAGAGAAACAGCGTCAGAGCCGCGACCGCCCCGAACCTTCATCCCCCCCCTTAAAAAACACACCCCGGAGCTTTTGTGCGACCCCGCAAAATCCGGTGGAGCCCCCGAAAAAACCCTCCGCCGCTCCCCCGGGTGAAGAAGAAGCCGCCCTCGCTTTGCTCTGCGACGCCGCTAAAACCCCGCTCGCCCGCGGCTGGCGGCGGCGGGGGGAACGCGGGTCGGGCATGGAAGGAAACAACGCCCCGCCCGCCCTTCGAGCGCCTCCCGCCGCCGTTTCCCTCCCTTCAGTTACCGATGCGATCGCTCCGCCGGCCGCGCAAGGACTGAGGCGTTCGCGCCCACGCGCGCCGGCCCCCCCCTCCTCAGCGAGGCCACGCCCCCTCGGCGTTCCCATTGGTCGCCGCCCCGCCGCCCGCCAAGCCCATTGGTCCGTGCGCTGCTGGGCGTGGCCTGGACCTCAGGAGCGCCTTATAAAGGGAAGGGGCGGGGTTATTCAAATGAGGGGAGAGTGGGCGGGGCTTGTGGGCGTTGATTGACAGCGCGGGAGGTCAAAAATAAAATAATTAAAAAAAAATTAAAAAAAATTTTTAAAAAATTAAAAAAAAATTTAAAAAAATTAGAATTAATTAAGAAATAAAATAAGAAATAAAACAAATCCACCTTCAGTCCCTCCAGGTCACCTCCACCTCGTCCGTGCGGTACCTGAAGGGGGGGGGGTCAAAGGTCACAGGTGAGGGCTCGGGGCCACGCCCACCCCACACTCACCTGTGCGCACCTGGCCACGCCCCCCCCCCTCACCTCTGGGTGATCCCCGATTGGCTGAGCTCGGTCACCTGCCCCGCCCGCAGCATCTCCCACCCGGCCTGGGCGATCATGGCGCCGTTGTCGATGCAGTACCTGTGGTGGGAGGGGTCCAGGTGAGCCCCAGGTGTGCCCAGGTGACTCCCACGTGACCCCCAGGTGTGCCCAGGTGACCCCCAGGTGACCCCAGGTGTGCCCAGGTGTGTCCCAGCCCCCCCCAGGTAACCCCAGGTGACCCCAGGTGTGCCCAGGTGTGCCCAGGTGACCCCCAGGTGTGTCCAGGTGTGCCCAGGTGTGCCCAGGTGACCCCACCTGTCATCAGTGGGGCAAAGCTCCGCCCCCCGGGCCCTGCACATGGTCTGCAGCATCTCCTGGAGCCGACGGTTACCTGAGAATAAAATTTGGGTCCAAACCCCCAAATATGGGTTTAAAACCCCAAATCTGGGTTTAAACCCCCAAAATTTGGGTCCAAAGCCCCAAATCTGGGTCTAAACCCCTCAAATCTTGATCTAAACCCCTCAAATCTGGGTCCAAACCCCCAAAATTTGGGTCCAAACCCCCAAAACCTGGGTCCAAACCGCCAAAATTTGGATCTAAACCCCAGAATTTGGGTCTAAATCCCCAAATTGGGTCTAAGGCCGCAAACCTGTGTCCAAACCCCCAAAATTTGGGTCCAAAGCCCCAAAATTTGGGTCTAAACCCAAAGAATTTCGGTCTAAACCCCCAAAATCTGGGTCCAAACCCACAAAATTTGGGTCCAAACCCCCAAAATTTGGATCCAAACCTCCAAAATTTGGATCCAAACCCCTCAAATTTTGGTCCAAACCTCCAAAATTTGGATCTAAACCCCAAAATTTGGGTCTAAATCCTCAAATCTGTGTCTAAGGCCCCAAATCTGTGTCCAAACCCTAAAATTTGGGTCTAAATCCCCCAAACCTGGTTCCAA